CCCCAATGGGTAGGGTTTTTCAGCCGTTTTAGTCACAAATAGGGTATCGATTTTGGCCATTATATTTTGGTTATAAATAGGGTATGGTTTTAGCACTCTAGTCTTTAATTGGGTATACTTCTTAGAAGAAGCTACTTTTTCTTCGTTTTCAATAAGAACGTCAACAAAAGCCCTTCATAGCTTAAGTTTAAGGCAACTGCGCCAGCCGCAACGGTCATAAATATAGGGTATTGAATTTTTGGCCAGGTCTTAAATAGGGTAGGAAAAATCGCAGATTTTGGTCATAAATAGGGTAAAGGTTTTGAGAAGTGGGCTGCACACCCCCACCCAACTTTTCTGGGAGTACCCCCCGGGTGCTGGGGTAACCCTGCGATGGAATAGCATCCCATCCAGGGGGCAGGGGGGGGGGGTAGGAGAATAGAAATACTCCTAGTCGCTTCATGCTACAGAAACCGAGATAAACTCCTGCCTGATGGGCCACTTGGCTAGTATGCAGACTAAACCTTTTTACCTTTACCATTTGAATACCTGCGTGAGATCAGTAGTGAAATGGGCGAGAAGAGCGAGGGAGACAAAAAAAACATCAATCAGTGTCAGCATCGATCAGTCAGTTCACTCTGCAGTAAGTTGAAGGAAGGATGAAACAAAGTGTTTAGACCTACTAGGGTAGAGATAGAGGTAGAGGTTGATCTCCGCGGAGAATTTCAAAAAAATTCAGAAAAGGTTTTGAAGAGTTGCCAAGAATTTTCTAAAACATTTGGGGACTTATAAAGTTCATCACGAGAAGCTGCGTTGTTCATTGAACGGGTTGAAGAGATACGATAATGTGGGTACCATGGTTAAACCAGCTTGATTAAGCAAGCGATGAAGGTCCTTGACTGTGCTTGTTTCCGATTTTTAGAGTTTCAGAGTAAAGGCGACAATCAGTGCCTCGGCAAGTCTCAGGCTGTTACGTTTGCATTAAAAGCCATGCAAGAAACTGCTGAGGTTTTGTTTCATCAGGTACAACAAAAATTCATGTATCAAGACAACAGCTACAAGGAAAGAAAACTTTTGGCTTAAGGCCCTCGATATATCAATGCGCAATATCATCTTTTGAACAGCACAGATTTCAAACAACAGATGATAGATTTGTTGGGAAGAAAACCGTATTTTCCAGAGGTTCGAGTTAATTGTTGAGCGGGCTCATCCAGCGAGCCGGATAAATCCCATTGGGGTCGGAACAATGGAATTGAAGTCTCATATTTCTACGTCTTGGGGACACCAGCCAATATACAATCTGGCTTTCCTTTCTTTCCATAATGCTGTTACTGATATTGCTTTACCACTCCAAAATATTACCCGAAGAAAAACATTTACGTACACGACAGGGTAAAATTTTAAAGGACCGGTGCATTGTAATCTTCCGTGTTGTAATGAGCGAGGTGAGACTTTGTCAAGGGATGGAAATCGAACAAAACTTTGACACAAACAAATTAATGTCAGTTAAATCAAACACGAAAGAATTTATTCAAGTTTTTTACGTTGTGTTAACTTTATTCTTTATAAGGATCTCCCATTATGGACGATCTATTTTATCATCCCTGATTAACACTGATTGGTAGCTAAAAATGACCATTTATAATTAAGTCTACGGCGGTCCATGTTTTGAATTTCTTTTACAACAAGTATAAAGTTGTATGTAGATCTTTAAGCAAAACTACAGGTTATTTTGTTACAATGATGAGACATTTTTTTTATTTTTTTCAAATGTAATAAAAGTTATCTTCAGCTATAGAAGAGTTCAATTACTAAGCGATCCTTTCCAAAATGGTAACGAGACCTGAATTGACAGATGCTAAATGAAATGACAAATCACCTTGAGAGTACCGCATCCCCTCCTAGCTCCTAGGGCACAAGGCGGTTCTGGTTGGATTTAAAGCAAGTTAAAATATGGCTTTCTGATACCTGTGAGTATCCTGCTTTATGCAGTGCAACGGCAGAGTGTTTCACTTGTGTACCGAGTATGTGGAGTTCAACTCCTCTTGGGCGAACTCGACCGGCTTGTCAGTTATTGATTGATTGACGTCTTTGCCATATTTTTCAGTAACATGTCAAATAGGAGGGACCGTGTTTTACCACATTTCCAAGCGCCGAAAAGGAGTATTTTTTGACGATATTCGTGTTTTAGTCTCTCGTGTCACACAACCTTATGAACTATTTTTTTCTCTCGTTTCAACTTCCTTGATTCGACAAGGACCTAGTGCTTCAAAGGACACAGCGAAATATCTTTTGGCGAGGAAATGTCGAGAAATCAGTGCGGCATCCCAATTGTAATGAAATGTATATCCCACCACACTGGAAAATATTGAATTAAGTGAACTATTACGCTTGTCCTTTCACAAAGATGCAAAATTTTCTTTCTTGACAAACTCTGCCCAACATTGATCAGTAACTGTTGCTATAAACAGCTATGATGCGTCAAAAATAAATTATTTTCATACATATGCAGTGCAAGTAATTTTTTTATGTTTTATTTACTCAACTTTAAATGGAAAACATACATACGATAATTAAATAGCTCTTACAAAATATTATTAACAGCGACTTTACTTGCATATTATTAATTAAAGAATTTCCGATACCAAAACGTAACTTTTATTATAAGATCGTCTCGCCTAGTTGATTGTTTATTGGAGGGTTACATTCGAAGTACTAAACAAAAAGTGGCATTTATATGTTTTACTATGGTCTATGGAAGACTTGTCTCAGAATTGTCTCCGGTGGCCAGTCCTTAAAGTTACCGAAGAACTGAAGATGCTGTGACAGCCAGATCAGCCAGATAGATAGGCTTGATCACCAGCCGCTGTTCGGGGAGGAATGTAGATCGCACAGGAGAGAGCGGCCGAAATCGAGCCTACCATATAGATCAATAGTACTGTCTTGCGTCAAAGAATCCAGCACTGAATTTGTAAAACTCTTAGTTCAAGAATCTAGCCAGTCAAGTCATAGTCGATGGGGATGCTGGAAGCTCCGTTATCAATTCAATGTTAGGCTATCAATAGGCCATTTTCGATATATTAAAATTATAATTTAGAAAAAAATCGCATCGAGATTGAGGGGTAAATAATTAATTTCGTTTTTTTTTTTGTTCCCCCGAGCCACCTAGCCAAGTTAGCATTTTAGTATATCGATAATGGCTTATTAAAGTTGATTCATTCTTTTTCTAAGCTGTCATCAAATCTTGCAGTCATCAGACACGGACCAGTAACTAATCTTGTTGAGGAATTATTCGTGCCGTTTGATAATTTGGTCTAATTTACGTAGGAAAAAAGGAAGAGTGAACGAACGTGTAAATGGCACTAGGAAAGAATTGTTTACATAATAAAAGAGTTCAACTCCTACAGGATTAGTTTGGTACACCAACATGGCTGCCGTTTCATTGTTTTGGAACACCAATATGGCTGCCATGACGTCATGTGAAAGGGCTCTATTCCGATATATTAAAAATCTAACTTAACTTGGCTCCGAGGCTTAGGGGAATAAAACAAAAGAAATCGCATCGAGGATGAGGGATGAATAATTAATTTCTTTTGTTTTATTCCCCTAAGCCTCGGAGCCAAGTTAGAATTTTAATATATCGGAATTGGCCTATTAGTGTTTGTTCAGATCCCCCGGGGGTACCCCCCTATTTGGGCTATATAGGCATGTGCGGCCCCAAGGGGAATATTTTTTCAGCCGTTTTGATCACAAATAGAGTATCGATTTGGCCATTTTGGTCTTAAATAGTGTATGGTTTTTGTACTCTAGTCTTGAATTGGGTATTGTTTCTTAGAAGAAGCTACTTTTTCACAGGAACCATAATTATGACTCCTGTTTTTCATCATTATCCATAAGACCATAAACAACAGCCCTAGAAAAAATTATGTTTAGGGCAACTGTTTCAGCAGCAACGGTCATAAATAGGGTATCGAGTATTTTGTTCAGATCATAAATAGGGTAAGGAAAATCGCAGATTTTGGTCGTAAATAGGGTACGGGATTTGGGAAGCGGGCCGCACACCCCCACCAAATTTTTCGGGGAGTACCCCCCGGGGTTCAGATAAAAGCCTTTCGCAGTTATTACAATTAGCGCCTACTTTTGTTACATTTAAGGTGAGGGTACTTATATTGAGTTAACAGTAAATTTTTATTAAATTTACATGTCGTATTACAGTTTAGGGCATAGGAAAAATCGGCAACAGATCGCACAAATACAACCCAGAACGACAACAGCAACGAACTTCAACACAATTCCGATTGTGATCCAAAAGGGTGCATTGCTGAAACAAGAAAACAACAAAATTAGTCATAAGAAGAGCGCAATGCTTGTTAAATACCTAGTTTGAGAGTACTAACGAGCTGACCATACCCTGAGCGATTTGCCGATGGTTGCACCCGAAGATTTCACGTAAATTTTTGAAAGCTGAAAAATTGAACATCACTTTACCGTACTTGTCGGGGTGTGAATTGCGAATGGAAACTATGAACGGTGACCACACTGGCTTGTGCTTTTCGTTGTATTTCGGATATTTTTATTTAGTTGACTTATTGAACTGAATTCGGCACGAGCCTTACCTGCAAAATACCTTGCCATTACTCTCTGAGCAGAAGCGAGCGTTCTTCCCATCTTTGGGGCCTGGGCAATAATTTCGGATATTAACATTGTCGCTACATGAAGAACCTCCTGGAAGGCAGCAAGCAGGGTTACTGTCCCATACACAACAGTGCGTTTGATCATTCCCCTCGTCAGGTCCCGGGCAATAACTCCGGATATCAGCACTGTCGTTGCATGAAGAACCTCCGGGGAGGCAACAAGCAGGTTTACTGTTCCATACACAACAGTGGGTTTGATTACTCCCGTCATCAGCGGGACCAGGGCAATAATTTCGGATATTAGCACTGTCACTGCATGAGGAACCTCCCTGCGGGCAACAAGCAGGCTGGCTATTCCATAAACAACATTGCGTCCGTTCCTCTCCATAGTTGGGGCCCGGGCAATAATTTCTCTTATCAGCATGACTGCCGCTGCATGACGAACCTCCTGGAAGACAACAGGCAGGCTGACCATCCCATAAACAACAGTGTGTCCTTTCAGGAGGGTCGGACAGCCCAGGACACGTGTACGAATCGTTGTAAGGTCCTAGACATCGCACGCGTGTTATCTTTATACCACGTACTGCGGATCAAGAAAGAGGAAAAGTTCACATCAAAAATTGAGGAAAATGAAAGTACGGGAAACATTGTTACGAGCGTTTCTGTCTGCTGAGTAAAAAAAGCTCAAGTCCCATTCGGGTCAACCGGTCTGCTCTGCGGGACTTAGTTTTCATCCGGGTATGAAGCAGTATTAAGAGCTTTGCTACTCCCCCCTAGATGAGATGCAAACCCACAGCAGGCTATCCCCAGCAGCTTATTCTAAAGTCTCCTTAACTTATCGCCATTGCCCTTTTATAATACGTGGACTGAGAGATGGAAGCACTGTGAGGGTTAAGCAGTTTCTTGTGCAGCACAAGGAAACAACAGAATAACCTCAGCCAGAGGGAGACATTGAAGTATCCAGCTCTAAAATACCGCAAAAATTCGGCAGACACCATGACGTCAGTTTCCTACGTATTTTGAATTCGTAGATGTGTACTGCACTCTTCGTAGACCAGCTTTCAACAAAAGAATCCATTTTTGAGGGATTGAGTTGCATGGCCATTTTATGTGAGGAAATTAGTTTTAATTGCGAACTTGCGGTCAAAGTCACGGGAAGTTAAAAAAGTTGTTTTTCACGAAAGATGTCTTTAACTCTGATCACTCTTGCCAACCTTCAATTTTAATGAAACGGTGAGGTCAACGGTTCATGGTCGTCGTTTCGATACAAAGTCGTTTCGATATAAATCGAAGACGATTCGATACACATATGAAGTCGATTCGATACAAACTGAGGTCGTCTCGCAGCAAAAGTAAACCAGAAGAAATATACCAGTGAAAGTGTGGTTATCTTCGCTTCGTACCCGACAGTGATCGAAAGAATTGTATTACCCAGTTTTAAGAGAGTTGTTCATTATTAGGAAATTTGGCAGGTCTAAG